AAAAAAAAAAAAAAAAAAAAAAAAAAAAAAAAAAAAAAAAAAAAAAAAAAAAAAAAACACTCACTGTGCTTTATTTTTATTAACTTAAAAAACCAAAGAAAAAATATAGTCAAATAAGTTTTATAGTATAGAGTACCTATTTGTCACCAGCTGCCTGATTGTGTGGAGGAGATAGTTTTCGCCTTCCACAACTTGGACTGAGATTGAACTTCCAATGTTGAAAAGCGGAATTTTAGATCAAAATGCATTTGCTTCGATATTGTCTTAATTGTACGGTACTTTTTCTGATGCAATTATCCTTTGCGGCTTCAGAGCCGAAAAAGTCTGCGCATGGTTTGGGGATGTAAGTTGATCACTGCTACCCTATCTAAATTATGGTAGCGTAATTACTGATCTCCATAGATTACTAGATAATTGATATGGAATAGCCTGAACTGTAGAGGAGAAGCCCACAGCATTCGCTAAATCACTCAGATACTTATTTTGTAATGTCCTTGGCGGCTTCAGAATCGAAAATGTTTACGCATGTTTTGGGAAAAACAGTGAGGATGTCAGGTGATTACAGCTACCTAATCTAAATTTTGGTAGCGTAATTACTGATCTCCATGGGTTACTAGATTGTTAATATGGGACAAACTGAACTGTAGAAGGGACCGTGGGAATGATTGTTGTCTTAAAGAAATTATTTAAAAATTATTGAATCATCATAATTGAAATTAATCTGTATTTAAGGTAATTATTTTTTTATTAAGTTTAATGAGTATTTTATTATGATTATTTTAATGAGTATTTACACGGTTAGAGGAAAATATGGTTCAGAGTTTCGTTTATTCGAAAGAGAAATTTTGTTGTAATTATAATAATTACATTTCTGTTATTTTTCTTTCACTGACATTGACAAGAATCAAACTAGTGAATGGACGTTTGAATTTGTTGAATTGTTTGAGCTAGTGAACGGACGTTTGAGTTCTAGAATTCTGGGTAACCTAAGCTTCCTCTTGACCCATTCCTAACTAAAAGGATCTTCATGCTTGTGACATTGCATCAATAATTCTGCTGCGCAATAAAGATTAGAGAGTATAATGGGCAAATGAATACCAATATCATAGTCCTGATCCTAAATCCATGGGGCAGAATGTTGGCAACAGTTCAGCTCAAAAGCGAGGCAACTATGAGGATAGAGTGATGAATTGAGCCAAAAAGGTAAACCAGATTAGAATTCCAGCGGTGGCTGTTTGATACGAATACTGTTCCAGGCTCACACTGACCACAGTGCTGATGTACCGTAACCTCATTGGTAGA